CTATACCTACACTGTCTATTCCCTCTTTTATTGTTCTGATGCTGTTTTCATTTACAGATTAACCTCTCTGGTTCCCTGTTGTAATTCTTTTGGTTTTGGGTAGTCCTTCAGATTTCATTTCCTAGGTTGGTATCTGGCTAGTACAATCCTGTGTCCTATATTCAGCCAAGGTTGTAAATCTTTCCAGCAGCAGACTGACACATCTTTCTCCCAAGGAGCCACTGGTGGGTTTGAGCCACTGACCTTTCTGTTAGCAGCAGAGCACTTTAACCACTGCACCACCAGGGCAGGAAACTGCTTAATAAATGTTTGGTGGGAAAATGAAACGGGTCATGTCCATCATCCAGTTACTTTGCTGAATCAGTAACAGTACTTTGAAATTTAAAGATCTAATCATGTGATGCTGGTGCAATTGGAGATCCATAGACCAAAAAACCCCTCAACTGAAGTCTCACACCTTATACAATGATAAATAAGCAAAATGCTAATGTACACGCATATAGTGCTTCCTCTGTTTCACTCTGTTACATACTCATTTAATGCAACAACTCTATCAGGGAGCCACTGGGGAAATGCAACGAAAACCACAATGAGATACCAATTCACACCCACTAGGATGACTATTATTTAAAAAATTGGAACATAATAAGTGTTGGCGAGGATGTGGAGAAACTGGAACCCTCCTGCACTGATGGTGAGCACGTAAATGGTGCAGCCACTGGAGAAAACAGTTTGGGGGTTCCTCAGAAAGTTAAACATAGAATTACAAAAAGGATCAGCAATTCCACTCCTAGGTAAATATCCAAAAGAACTGAAAGCAGGGATTCAAACAGATACTTGTATACCAATGGTCATTGCAGCATTATTCACAATAGCCAAAAGGTGGAAACAACCCAAGTGCCCATCAACAGATGGATAAACAAAATGTGGTATACATGTACAATGGAAGGTGCCCTAGTGGCATAATGGTTAAATGCTTAGTTGGGGGTTCAAACCCAGCAGCAGCTCTGTGGGAGAAAGCCCCGGAGATCTTACAGCCTAGGAACCCTATGGGGCAGTTCTATTTGGTCCCACAGTGCCGCTGAGCTGGAATCAACTCAACAGCACACAACATGTACGACAGAATAGTATCCTGCCATATAAAGCAATGAAGTTCTAATACATGCTATGGCATGGATGAACTTTGAAACCATTATGCTAAGTGAAATAAGTTGGTCACAAAGGACAAATATTGTATGATCCCATTTATATGAAAGGTCTAGAAGAGGCAAATGCAGAAAGATCAGTGGTTACCATGGGCCGGGAGGAGGGACCAGGGAGTTACTGCTTCACAGGTAGTTTTAGTGGTGGTGGTTGCACATTTCGAGTGTGATTAATGGCACTGAATTGTACATTTGAAAATATTTAAAATGGCCAATTTTATGTTTGTATATATTTTTACCACAATTTAAAAAATGTATGGCACACCAAATACACAGATGACTATGTTAGGTGCTAGTTATAAAGTTAACAAAACCCTAGTGGAAGTTACCATGCAGCTGGAAAGACAAACAAGTGAACAAATAGGCTGGCGAGGCTTGCTTGAGGACAGGAAATAGTAGACAATGTTTAGATGCTGCTGGGCAAGATTCAGAAGGAGGGAGACCGATAATGCAGTAAAGAGTAACAAGTGAGCCAAAGGCCTTGAGAACTGAGGGGATGGTGGGATCCAGAGAATGAGTTTTGGTTAAAAGGGATCCTTCAGTAGTGACAGGAAAGTGGGTGCTGAAGCAGGTAGATTTATAGATTTAATGGTGGGAAGATGAGTTCCATCTGATGGTTTCTCAATGAAAAATGAGGCAAGGTCTTCAGCTGGGTTGGGGGTGGTCATTTCAGAGGAGAAACAGAAAGTCATAGTTGTTGCCTATCTCTCAACTCCTAAACCTCCCTGGTGGTTGTTTCACACTTCCGAGATGCTGACTTAGTTCTCATTATTCTTTTCCAGCAAATTCCTACTTGTTCTTCCAGACCCATCTGGGCCACCACATCTGGTACGTACTTCATCTCCATTATCATAATGCCCTGAAGTTTGTGTTTGCCCTCCCTGCTAGACTAGTAAGGTTCTTGAAAAGCTTGGTCTGTGTCCCTAGTGTTGGGTTCTGTGTGTGACACTTAAGTAAGGATTTTCAACAAATATTTAACATAAGCTTTAATAATAGTTTTTGTTTCTGGAATCTACAAACTAGGAGAATTTATCAGACGGACATGAAAGTGCCAAGGATTAACCAATCCCTAGAAGAAAGCAGCTCATATGACATCTGTACTCTACGGAGAACTGCACTGCTGGCAGAGGGCTCCTGCACCCCGCATTATGGACACACCACCACACTGGCTTTCATGTAGTCCTTGTTTTATTCAAATGCCAAAACATAAGTTTCTAGATACAAATTGTAGTTAAATTCAGCTGTTTTTGATTTAAAAACATCGATTAGGCTTTGTCAACAACTTCCAAAACCAAATGTTTAAGTTGTTGCGACTAAAATGTCTCCCAGTCCATTTCTGGAAGATTACCCTTATTATATTTAGAAGCTACTCCAATTTTCACTCTACAAAAAGGAAAATAATGATGCTATAAGAAAAAGATAATGAGCAAAGTTATAATCTGAAAGACATCTTGAGAAGAACTTTAACCATTTCTAGGGAGACTAAGAAGGATACCTGTTTCTCTTCCATCCGATAGGAACCAGGCTTACATACTCTGCAAAAGTGCATTTCTGGTCTTACACCAGCCATAAATAGATGTCTCACATCTATTTTATTACATCATAGAAAGCCCAACTCTTCATGAACAAGATGAGAATTTGCTAATAGTTTAAGGTTCTTTTCCTAAGAAAAAGGGGTAAGGAAAACTCAAGAGTCTATAAACCAAAATAAAACAAGTATTTCAGTGTACTCTGATTTAAACATTTCAAATGAGGTTGAACTGAATGAATAATATAAAAACATATCAACATTACAGAAAGAAAAATTTTTTTAAAGGTACCCAAATATTTTAATATTTATGGAATCAAATGATACAATTTTCATTTTTAAGTCCCCCAAATTACCCCTTTTTAGTTTTGCTTTATAATGAAGGTCAATAAATTATATTTTAGTGTAAACACATTTACTTCTGTTGATAGCAAAACATAGATTGTCTTTAATGTTCTATGAAGCCAAAAAATCAGACAAATATTCAGGATCATAAAACAAAAAACCAGATATACACTAGCCCAAGCACTTCCGGTAAATACACAATCTTAGGGTATTTCGTTCAGTTCAGCACATGGCTGTGACTCTGACTGATACTGTATATGCTATTTATAAAATTAGACGTATACTTTTTTTCTGAAGATCTAAGCCAAACTTCAATTCCATCTTCTCACTCATGGTACTGAAATGGATCAAAGGTGACAAATAAATCAGACAAGTCAGCAGGAAGCTTTTTTTATAGTACTAATTGGGAAGTTAGTGTCATGCACTAGCAGACAAGACTAAGAATTTAACTGAGCATATATTATCAAAATATGGTTCTTCAGGGTTCTTTTTCATGAAATTTTAACTACTTGGAAACTACCTGTTCCAATTTTTAAAATGAATAAAATTCTTGTATTTTCAGGTCACAAACGTTGGTAGAAAAAGGTTAAACTAAAGAATGGTACCTCAATCTTCAATTTTGAAGAATTTATTTTCCCATTTGTAGAGTAACATTATCGTAAAATCCATAGTTACTGCAACACCTGCGTTGCTTAAAACCACTCCTAAGAATTTTGTTAAAGCATATTTTTAAAAAAACTGAACCAAAATAATGCACATTTTATCTCTGAACACTGTATCATTAAAGTCCACATAATGTCCTCTGTGTATAAATCAATGTGATGTTACAATATAATACATGATCTGATTCTTATCCTAAAGGCTTCTGACCATGTATGCTATCCAAGATAGACCCAACTCCTTTAATGTCAGACTGTAGAGAGTTATCGTCCTAAACAAAGAAGGAGAAGCTTTATTTACAGGAGTCTGACAGTTTAGCTGTTTGCAGCATCTGCTTGGCGAGGCCAACCTTCCTCTTCAACGCCAGAGTCATACTCCTCTTCAGAAGAGTCTTTCGTTGCAGCCCTACAATAAAAAGCCATCAGTGTTGATTTCTTTTTTTTAAAATAAAAATTGAGGATAGAAAAAAGTTATATAAGACCAAACGGTCAATACTATTTTAAAGCATTGATAAGAAAGTTGGGGGGCAGGGAGATTAAGTAAATGGAAGTGAAACAACTAGAACAGAAATAAGGAGAATGTTGACACAGTGTGAAGAATGTAACCAATGTCACTGATCATTAGCACTATAAACTGTGGAATGGGAGTGGGTTTTGCTGTGTTTATTTTCACCAAAAATAAAATTTAAAAAAAATGAGGATAAACAAAATTTCTAGATTCTAAATACTAAGTTAATCCACCTAGCTAGAAAAGCTACTAAAGTAGGAAATATTAAGAGCACTTTTAACATTAGGATTGCTTAGTGTTGAAATATGGGAAACGTTTAGACCACCCAACCAAGGCTTGTGAGTAATTTTCTCAACATTTTCCCTAACAAATTTACTCCTGAAATAAATGGATGAGCCTTCAATTGTGAACGCTTAAAAAATACACTTATTCAGGAAATAAGGCAGAATCTGTTATTTTAACCAAATTGCTTGACATTTACCATATGTCTATGGGAGAACCTGCCTTCTGACCAAATCCAACTGGACTCAAATTAGTCAAAATTATGATTCAGATCACCATGATTCCTTTTAAAACTTGCGTATCAATGCCATTAAAGATTATGTCTCTTTGAAGTGAAGATGTTCAAAACCAATGAAAAATTTATAAGATTACTGCTTCCCTTACAAATATAAAGGTTTTTATGCAATTTTTATAACAGACCAATAAACTACAGCAATAAGGGGTTGATCTTAAATTTTAGATCTGTTCTGGCTTGACAATATACCTTACCGGATGTATCCTGGTTCCTTTTTTCCTTCTACTACTTCTTTGTCAACCTCCACACATACAATGTCAGAATTAGGGACTTCAAACATTGGTTCTAGTAACAGCTTTTCCTAAAGAGAGAAAAAGTGACAAATTATACGGAAAACTGGAGTTACAAAGAAAATACTTGTGTTATATAGGCCATCAGTTAAACTCATCCACTCAGTAGTATGAGTCCCTATTCTACACCAGGAACTGAATACTGAAAAAGTCAATGTAAAAGTTTTCATATTCTTCATATTAAAAGAGCATCTAACTAAATCCAGAGAGATGTCATTCTATAAGGGAAAGCTATACTTGTCTGCAGTGCTGCCTACTTTGGTCACCATGCACACACAAAAAGGCTTTACTTTCAGATTCAGATGTTCCTCAGAAGCATTACCTGGCTTATTTTATGACAGAGGAAGTCAACTGGTAATCCTTACTTTTAAAACTGTTTAATCCTAAATCAAGCTCTTCAATTTCAAACTATGACTTCAAATGAACATTTGTCTCAAGTGCTGGAGTAGATTTAAAGTTGTTCACTAAAGAAAATTAGCTTTGCCTACAGGTAGTGGCTGGGTTACATTCTACCCAAAGGAAAATACTAGTTGAGTACCTCAAATTTCCAAAAAAATGTCAACTGTATCACCTCTTCTAGTTTGCATGTTTGTAAGTCGGTCCTTAATCAATAACACCAGAAGTCCAGACCCATCAGAGAGTATAATCTCAAGCTGTCAGTGGTGGATGTGTAGTTCTAATCCTACTTAGCAGGAATTTTGACTGAAACTACACAAAGTGTTACTTAGCAATGACATCCTTAAAAGGGAACAGGAGCATGTGCTTGCTTTGGAAGCAGGTAGGCCAGCAATAACCAACCCACTGTACAGCCAAACCTGGGGGCTAAGTAAGAGAACTCTAAGGAAGAGAGTAGGTAGTGGCAGGAATACAGGCTGGGTCCCTAGGATCTTTAACAAAATAAAAAAATAGTGAATTTATACCATGCTGAAGAACTTAGGGGTAAAGTGTCATGGTAGTTGCAACTTACTTTCAAGTGAACAAACAGAATAGAGGGTTCAAAGGGCCTGAGAAGGAACTCTGCAGCCTAGTCAAAAGGCCCATGTAGAATTTCCTAAAATTCATCTTCCTATAATCCTGATTTCCTCTATTTCATTAATTATATTATGTGTGTGTCCTTTAGTGTCAAATACTTTAAAGTTCCTTTTTAGAAAGAAGCAAAAACATACAATCATTATGACAAAAAAATAAGCAATACCATGATAAATGGAGAAAATACTGAAGTTGTTAAGGATTTCATTTTACTTGGATCCACAATCAACGCCCATAGAAGCAGCAGTCAAGAAATCAAACGACGTATTGCATCAGGCAAATCTGCTGCAAAAGACCTCTTTCAATTGTTAAAAAGCAAAGACATCACTTATGAGGACTAAGGTGCGCCTAACCCAAGCCATGGTATTTCCAATCGCCTCATATGCATGCAAAAGCTGAACAATTAATAAGCAAGACCAAAGAAGAATTGATGCCTTCTAATTACGGTACTGGCGAAGAATACTGACTATCCCATGGACTGCCAGAAGAACAAATAAATCTATCTTGGAAGAAGTACAGCCAGAATGCGCCTTAGAAGTGAGGATGGCAAGACTTTGTCTTATACACTTTGGACATGTTATGAGGAGGGACCAATCCCTGGAGAAGAACATCATGCATGGTAAAGTAGAGGGTCAGTGAAAAAGAGGAAGACCCTCAATGAGATGGCCTGACACAGTGGCTGCAGCAATGGGCTCAGACACAGAGAAGATCGTGAGGAGGTGCAGGGACGGGGCAGTGCTTCCTTCTGCTGTACGCAGGTCGCTGAGTCGGCATGCAGTATGTAACAACAACGAACACATGACCAAAAAAAAATCTTAGCTCAATTTTCTGGTTAGTATTGCCAAAAAACAAACGAACAAAAAAACCACAGAAGCTTAATAGTCTAAAAATTCATGCTAGGAAATAATCGAGTTTTTGTATAATAATGCTAACTTACCATTATGGACCGAAGGCCTCGTGCACCAGTTTTTCGTTCTAGTGCCAATCTGGCTATAGCTTTCAGAGCATCCTCAGTAACATTCAGTTCACACTACAAATACAGCCAAAAGAAATGAGAACTTAGATAATCCTTGATGAGATTCTCCTAATACAATCATATAGTATTTATTAATTAATACTAGCTACCACCATTACTAGTCCTAGAATCACAGAATTTTAGAACTAAAAGGGACCAATGTCCTGACTTTATAGATAAAGAAATAAGTAACTTATTCACTGACAGAGGGTTGAGTAAACTGATTCACTGACATAGAAACACTGGAAGGGTCAGAATCTATGTCCTGACTGACCCTATCTCCAATAAGACTAAAGGATCACTTAGACTTTTTCACTTTCCTCCTAGAAAGCCTTCATTGGGTCCCTATAATTCCATTTTACAGAGGGCTACTAACCTTCTTATCCTAATGAACAAAGGTAAAACTTCAGACAAGTTTCTCTAAATTACCACCAATCTCAAAATGGTAGAGTTCAAATTATTCAGATTAAAAAAAAAAAATCAAAATGTTCTGGAACATCAGATTTCACAAGATCCTGGTATTAACAACTTTTGGTATTAATATCTGCCTCCAGAAATCATAAAATTTAAGTGAGGTAATTATCTCTCATAGTGCTTTAGAACTTTGCCTCTAAGAAGCACTTGTTTCTATCAATTAATCTGTGAAGGTATCAGTGTTATGAATCACAAGTTTGTTCCCAGTCCTTGAAAAGTTTTCTAGATTAACATAAACTTCCCAGGACTTTCTTCATCATTTACTGAAATCCTACATGCCTCCATATTAGGGACTGAACGATGAATTAAGACACCATCTTTGCCCTCAAGGAAAGGGGCGGTGACAGATTAGCAAACTAGTACTTACAGCACAGTGTATGCACACGGTGCTCAGGGAGTACAAATGAGGGGCATCTAAATAAGACTAGGGACCACTGAAGGATTTTAAGCAAAGGAGTAATAGAGTTAGCTCTGTGTTTATTCATTCAAGAACTTAGTATTTATTTGCTGGGCACTATGCTCAGTAATTTTAAAATGATCCATTCTGGAAATAAAGTGGAAGACTGATTATTTTGGTAGTGGTGGTCAGAGATAGACTTGAGATAGGGAAACCAATTAGGAATTAAATGCACAGGTCAAGGTGAAGAATGTTAAAGGGGCTTGACTTGAGGCAGCGGCAGTAGCAATAGAGAGAAGATGACTGATATTTAGAGACACTAAGTTCATAAAACCCAAAACATCTGATACTTGATTAAATGTGTGGGCTGGAGTGACCTGCAGGTGTCTGGATGCAGAGAAGCAGATGTGGGAGCTAATAAAACTACTCGGATGAATGTATATAAAAGTATACACAGTATGTTACAGCATAAGCATTTCGGACAATCCTGTGTGTCTGGCTTAGAGGGGCCAGGGGTAGTCTTCTGGCATCATACTGTCAAACAAAAGACTCATGTTAGAATGAAATTGCAGGTAGGTATTCAAAGAGGGTATAAAACACAGAAAATATACAAATAAAATTAAAATATGATAAACTTGATAATAAAGCATATTAAGAATAGATGCAGTTTCAGATGCTATGCAATGAGGTTAGGAAAATTTTTGCAACAAAGACCATTTTAATTAGGCAGAAATGAAGCCAACTCCTAAATGTCTAATGGCTGTATTTAGTGAGGAATAGGCTGAGATTCCGGATGAACAAGATTGTTTTTTAATTTATTAGGCTAAGTTATGCAAAATTCCAATAGCAAGAAAACCACAAACTAATTATGAGAAATAAAAGCCTCACCTTATCCATACTGAACAAGGCCTGGTACTGGGGAATAACGGCATTACGTGGCTCAGTTAGTATTTGCACAAGTGTTTTCTCATCTAGGCTATGCAGAGGAACTACCACAGGTAACCGTCCCACAAACTCAGGAATCATGCCAAACTCAATGAGATCTCTGGCTTCCACATGACGTAATAATCGATCTTTTTCCTCAATGTCTTGATGAGTATTTGATTCCCCACTTCGATTGGCAAGATCTGCAGCAGCTGCAGCCCTCCTGCCTTTTCCCAGATTAGATGGTGTTCCAAATCCAAGATACTGTCAAAGAAAAGACTCGTGTTATAATGAAATTGCAGGTGGGTACTCAAACAGGGTATAAAACACAGATAATATACAAATAAAATTAAAATATGATAAACGTGATAATAAAACATATTTAGAATAGCTGCTGTTGCAGATGCTCTGCAATGAGGTTAGGAAAATTTTTTTGGTTTTAAGTAAATTTAAAGATTTTTCCTAAAAAACAGTTGTGAAAATTTCATACACAGTAGGTTGAATGACTAAAACAGGAAAATCCTAATCAGTATTAATGAAATATATTAATTCTCAGCTGAAGAAATATACTAGAAAAGTCATTTTCAACTGTTTACTCAGGCAAAAAAGAATAATTAGCAATTCAAAAGACAAGGAATTTCTAGTTTAGAAGCAGAACATGCTCTAATTAGGCACAGTAGTCTTTTCATAAGAAAAGGAAAAACTGTTTAAAGGACAAAAAACAGTTCATGAACTGAGCCACTGGAACTGGCTTAATAACGAAGGATAAAAAAGAAAAGGTTTTATTTCTGTTTTTTGTTTACTTCTCTACTAGTTTGATTTATTAAACAATTTGAATCCGTATTCTACTACTTAGATTACAGAATACGGGCATATTAACATATGCCGTGAAAGATGCATACAATCCTAAAGTCTTTTAAGTATTACCAAAATACTTTCAAGGCAAAAGTCCTGGTCACACACATGCATTTCTGTAAGCTACAGAAATAAGATCAGTTTTTAAAACATAATATGTAGCTCCTTACTTAAGATATAACATTATAAAAGAATATTTTTAAAAGATTATTCTTTGCATTTCAAATTGTTACAAAAGTATCATATAGGTTTTCTACCTTAACAAGAATATTGAAATTACATTCTAGAACTGGAATCTGTTAATTACAGAGTAAGTGGGCCACCAGGAAAAATATCTTGAATGATGAGTTCTACAAAAGACGTACACAGTACTTTCAAAAGAGAAACTGAATTCTTCTCAACTTTTATCATTATTATAAATAACAATTATTGTTGATCTCATTTATTGGGGACAAAGTATATGCCAGGCACCGTACTAAGTACTTTATATGAATATCTCATGTGACTTTTACCATAACTCAGTGAACGAGACTCTATTATCATTCACATTTTACAAATGATGAAAACAGGCTTAGAGAGGTTAAGTATCTTGACCGAAGTCTCGTTGCTGTAAGTGGCAAGGCCAAGCTTCATACTCAGGTCTGTCTGCCTTTAGAACTGAAAACCTAATCACTATATAATAAGCAACTCTCAAAGAATGAATCCTAGTAAAAGAACATTAAGTAAAAACTACAAAGGGAAGTCCCTTAAACTCAGATTATAAGGTTGCAGTGTTTATCTAAGACCTCTAGACTAGTGTGGTTTCCAAAAGGTGTAAAAACCGTGAAAATGGAAAAAGGAAATTTTTTTGTAGCCAAACATTCTACTGAAATTATGGTTTGGGGTTGCATACACCAATCTATGCTAGAATAATTTAGAATTTAGACAGAATATATAAGGCTGACATCAGACAAGAATGTCAACTTTGAGGCACAAGGCTGGGTATCTAAGGTGTATGGCTCAGCCAAGGTAAGAGAAATATACAAGCCACTGTCAGAGAGTTTAATTTTGTCATGTGATACAGCTTTTGTCAAAAGTGAAAAAGAAGCACGATATCTAAGAAGACAGCCTAAGTTAAAGTCCATTTTTCTGACTCCCTAAGCTGTGAACATACATATTAGTGTATCAGAAAGCAAAATACCTTACATTCAATAATTTAAACATTTATTATGCTTTTATTTTGTACCAGGCCCTGTCCTAAACACTGGGGTTACAAGCCTGCTGACAGTCCTTACCCTGGCGGGGGTTATTTAGAGGGAGAAAACATGAGGGCATTAAAGTATTAAAGTAGAGGTGCAATGACAGAGGGCTGTACAGGGCACTGCAGCAGTGGAAAGGAAGGAAAGGTCCATGTATTGGGGATGCAGAATAGGAAGGTGACCAAGAAAAGGCTTCACAGAGGAACTGACTAATCATTTAACAGTCTGAGTATTGAAAGATGGACAGGTATTTGCCAACTGGACTGAGGTAATAAAGGGCATGAGTAAAGGGAAGAGGAATAAAACTTAGGACTATAAGCAGTTTCATACGGTTGGCATATAGATGTATTATACCTTTGGCTTTCAATAAGTGTTGATAAAAACAATACCCACATGGATGTTTTTCATCCTTCATGAAAACATTAAAAAGACAGAAAAGAAAAAAAAGACCAAAATGGATGTCAGAAGAGACTCTGAAAATTGCTCTTGAACATAGAGTAGCTAAAGCAAAAGGAAGAAATGAAGTAGAAGAGCTGAACAGAAGATTTCAAAAGGCAGTTCAAGAAGACAAAATAAAGTATTATAATAAAATGTGCAAAGACCTGGA